AAGGGGACCAGAGAAGAATGGGACCAGAGAAGAAGGGGACCAGAGAAAAATGGGACCAGAGAAGAAGGGGACCAGAGAAGAATGGGACCAGCGAAGAAAGGGACCAGAGAAAAATGGGACCAGAGAAGAAAGGGACCAGAGAAAAATGGGACCAGAGAAGAAGGGGACCAGAGAAAAATGGGACCAGAGAAGAAAGGGACCGAGGGAGGAAAATAATTAAAATAAAATTGAGCAATATTGAAAACCATTTTGAAATCTCTACTCGACAACAAATTCCTTAAAAATAAATGTGTTTCATCTACAAATGCTGGGTGTAGCAAACAGCGAACACTTAGTGTGTTGTTACTGTGTAAATATTCATGATTTATTTCTAACTTGTTTTTAAATAACTTCAATAATTCCCAAGATTTCTTCCAAAAAATGAAGACTTTAAGACTTACATTTATTAAAATAAATGAAAATTACTTAAGTGCCTTGATTTGAGGTCTGAAATCTTGTAACAATAAAAATGCGGAACAACACAATTTTACATAAAGGGAATATTTACTAGCACAAATATAATTTAGGCCATGTAGCAAACCCAATATTATTGGAAATCCTTTGCGCAAAATAATGAGAATAAAAAATATCTTTTTTTTTTTTGCTGATGGCACTTTATCAATGACACCAGGTTTGATTATCAACAAACTGCAGCTACAGATTTGTCTCTGAAGAATAATAACCAATTGCTGTAGTGAACCTGGTCTGACCCTGATCTGACCCTGATGACCTCAAATCTATCAGATGGACAGGGACTGTTATTTCATTGATCTGAATACAGTCTGAGCCATCTGATGACTTTCTTTCTTGAATTAATCAAGCAGAAAAGACAATTCTCTATGATCATCACTGTTTTACAAAATGTTTGATAATCAAAATTGTGTTAGTTCACCCAATATTACAGGTTGAAAAGAACTACTCATTTTTATTTTACATAAACAGTAAGTAATGATTTTTATTCCTCATTCAAAGAAGA